AGTGAGGCGTTCTGCTTTACCGTTAATTAACTGGCTGCTTTCGGGGTAAATGGCGAGTCGGTAAATTCCTGCAGTGTAGCAGCACGGTGCACTGCAACCACCGACCATCGGTGTGAACGCTGAGTGCCAAAGAGTGGGCTTTCCACCGTGCACTAACAGCTTGAAAATGAAGATGAATGACTAAAGCATATATACGTTTCAATAACGTACTACGAAGGAATATGTGTTTTACAGAGAGAAGTGGATGTGTACACACGATATATATGTATGTGTGTAGGTAATGTGAATACGGATGTGTACACATATATGGGTAACGCAGGAACAGTCTATTTAACTATTCTATCTCCTCGGCATATCTCAAAATAAACTCAAGAATTTGTTGTTGGGTTTATTTTCGAGAACTTGTCCTCCATTTAGCCCCCGATGGTTTCCACGTGGGCAAGTAGCCGTGCTGCGAGCGAGCGCTCCTGGCCGCGTCTCCGCGCAGCCGCCCCCGCGTTCCGGCTGCCGAGCCCGGCCCGTGCGCTGCCCACCGAGCAGCCCGGAGCCGCAGCCCTGGCCCGAGCTGCAGCGGGACAAGGATATGAGGAGAAGTTCCTGCGGGGCAGACGAGGGCTCCCGGAACTGGCCCCGGGCACAGCCCGCGGCTCGACCGGCTCGGCGGTGCCGCCCCGCGCCCTCCGCCCCCACGGGAGCGCTGACCCCGATTCTCCTGCGAAAACACCTGTTAGGCTTTAAGTTACTCGACTGCCCTTCCGCCATGGGGAAAACAAACTACAGCACCACAGCAGCACGCTTCAGGCTGGCAGGGGAAAAAGTATCCCAAAAGCAGAGGGCCTTATATAGGAAGAAACCCCACCGGCAGGCGAGGCACTGCCTGCGCGCACTGCGCCCCAGCCATCCGCCCCTCACAGCGGAACACCAACATCGTGGCCCGTGTTTTCCGTGAGAGACCGCGCACGACAGCCACTCTCACTCTGCGGCATGCCCACAACCACTATTAATAATAATACCACCACCGATAATTACAATAGCAATAACAACAACAGCAATCTTAGCGGTAATAATAGTAATAGCAATACTAGAAAGAATAAAGGTTTTCGAGGCACAGGTGATGAAGAGAGACAGGAGGACAGGGCAGCCGGTGCCGTGCCGCATATCGCGGAGTACCGGCGACCAGCCCGAGGGGAACTGAGTGCTTACCAATTCGCGGCATTGCCCGCCTGCGGAGAAGCCCGGGAGGGTCGCTGTAATCCATTTTGCACCCGCGTAGCAATCCGTGTGCCGGAGGAAATAGCGGCAGCGGGGGCATCGAACGGTGGGAGAAGAGCGAGGGGCTGCAGGCGGTGCGGCGGCGGGCGCGGGTCTCCGCGCATCCCTCCGTGGGCGCGGGAGAGGAGGCGGCGCGGGGCCGGGGAAGTGTCAGTGCAGCGGCGACGGGACCGGCCTCGGGTTTGGGGGAGCGGGGCACAAACATGAGGGCGACTGCCATACACCTCAGCCTAGACAAAGGTTAGAAAAAGAGGGGCTGAGGCTCTCTGAAGGCAGAATGCAGGGGGAAATTCGCCAGGGAAATCAGGAAAAGGCCATGAAAGCGCTCGCTGCCTGCACATGACCAGCCGCAGCCAATGACGAGCCCAAATAGGTCATAAAAAGGTCTATTACCAAGTTGTAAATTTTCTTCAAACAAAAAGGAATTTACTGCAATTCCTTGCGGATTTTGCACATACTGCTTCCCAGCGCCATGTTTCTTTCGCCTGCGCGCTGCGCTTTTACAGAGGCTTCGGTCCCGCCTGCCCTCGGCCTGGGCGCGGTGGCGGAGCCCCGTGAGCACGGCCGGGACGCGGGAGATCCGCGCGGGCCGCGGAGAGAGGGGCAAGCGGCCACGGAACCGCATAAAGAGAGACAGGGCACTGTGCCGAAGGATCCGTTTCTTGCCAAACGAAAGGGGGCTTAACCCGCATCCCCACCCTCTTCTCCCACCCCTCCCCACCGCTCCGCCGGGCACTAAAAGAAACCACATCTGCTTTAGCGCCCACTACTGAAGCGGAAGCCGTCGCCGACATAAAAATGGTCCGAGCCTCTTCCCCACCCCGCAGTGTGCGGTTCCCGCAGGTTGCACCGGGCACTGTCACCGCGCCCCGTGCAGGCTGCCTCCGCCCCCGATAAAACCTTCCCGGGGCACCAACAGGGAAAATCCGATTCCTAGAAAGTATTCCAGAAAAGAAAAATTAAAATGGGCCTGTGTCCACAAGGAACACTCGACTCGGAGACGGAGTACTGTGGATGTTTCTTGCTCAAGTTTTGTTTCAGGGAATAGCCAGAGCCCTCAGTCCGTGACCTCCGTGCTGGTTGTAACCGCTAACAAAAGTAAACACGCCTAGAGATGTAGGATCGAGGTTGGATCTTTTAAACACGCTGCTTCAGGCAGTTGCACACCTTTGAATATTGCCCCAGCGGAGGCTATGGCAACTCTCGTGGTGTCTCTGCAGCACTCACGACCGCGCTGAGCTGCTCCTCAAGGGAACGGAGAAATTCCACGGAAACCAAAGGCGCGGTACATCCACTCCGCGGCCGCCTCAGGCGGCCTCTCGCCGCCGCTCCCTCCGCAACGCGCGCAGCTACGGCTTTTCCTTGCCAAAAGTCCGATGGCTTCGGTTTCACAGGGGACATGGTGGCCACCTGGGTCAATTTTTGACTCCGCTATGTTTTTTCTTAGCAAGTTTCCAAGTGAGACCGAGGGAGAGATTCAGATGCCAGGCTACGGGGGTAAATGCCTTAACAACTACAGCGATGTTTTGTTATTCTTAATGAGTAAGACAGGGGCGATTCCAGTTACCACTAGGCCTTCGCCAATTATGCGGGCTCAGGGAAGTCAGTTTTTGCCTGCGTGGCTGCGTTCCCAGTCGGTCCTAGGAGAGCAACGTAACGGAAACTTCTTCGGGAATATTTTAATTTTATTCTTTGTCTGATAATTAAAAACAACTACCGCAGCAGCGCAGCAGCTCTTTTCCGGACAAATACTAGCCTAAGGAGTGCTCCGCTGGTGTGTGAAGGTCCTCGACATGCCTTCGCCTCTCGGGCAGCCCGGGATGGCAGCGGGCGGCACCAGCACGGCTTTCCCGCAGCAGGGCCGCCGGAACCGTGTTGAGTCCAGCCTCCGCCGCCAGCGCAGCAAAAGAGAGAGGCTTTTCCTGCCTGGAGACCAAATATGTCGGTGCCACTAGCACGAGTGTTGTTTTGAAAAGCTAGGGGGTCCTACGCGTCGGGCCATCGCGTTACTTTCAACGCGCAGCTACCAGCCCCGCATCCTCCCGTGACACTACGGATACCAGTGTATTTATGCAAATCCATGCAAAAATGTTAATTTCGCTGTCTTGTTGCAGCTTCCCTTTGTTTGCAACCTTTAGCCAACTAGGCGATTAAAATAAAACCAAGAACAATAGCTCGGCTTGCTCGTGCCCCACTCCAGAGCTGGCGCTTTGCAGCAGTGGAAACGTGCCTCGGTGGTGGGGAGCGGGGGAGAGAAAGGGAAACGAAATGAACCAAACCCGCCCTACAAGCCCCATCCCCGTGGACGGGGGCTCTCGCCGCGCCGGGCACATTCCCGGGAGCGGAGCGGTGGGTGCGAGAGAAGGGCCCGGCGGCGGGCGGGCAGGGCGGCGGGCGGCAGCTCCCGGGAGCCTGGCTGGGGTTTGCCGAGCAAGGCCTCGCCTCAGCCCCGGCCTCGTCGGGATCACCCTCGTTTCTGGACAGAAAATAGAATTATATATCATGTTTGTCGCAGTTTCTGGCGCGTCCATTCGATTTCCTCCATGGAGCCATTACTCAGGGGAGCGTCAGCCGGTAGAGAAAAAATGACACAAAAATCTTGGTAGAGATTTATACCTCATCCCTCGACCCTTTGCCTGCCGCTCCTAAAGATGATTTCTCCCGGCCGTCCTGTTAGATACAGTGCTCTGCGGGACCCTGCCGCGGAGCGGGAGCAAGAGGAGGGAGGGGAGAGGGAGAGAGAAATTAAATTGTTTTGCTTATCAGCAAAACAATTCCTCCCGTGGTTGCGGGAACCGTGAGGCAGGCTCTTCACCAGCTGTGGCCTCCGCTGGGAAACGCATCATATGATAATATTTAGGGGTAGAAACGTCTTTCTCTCGGTCTACGCATGGTTTGGGACTCCTAAGAATTACAGCCCTCGAGAAACCCCCACGCAAGGCCGCAAAATCTTTGTATTCCTCAGCTTGTCAGCCATCCTCGGGGGAGGCCGGGCCCGTTTGGGCCGTGGTTTGTGTGGCGGGCTGGAAGCCCCGCACCGCTTGGAGCAGCCCTTTGGGGATGCCGGGCTCTCTCCCTCCAGCCGGGCTGGCAGCAAATGGCTCCGCAGGGTAAGGGCCGTGTTTGCCGGCTGCGGGCTCTGCACGGCGGCGGGGAAAGGCCAAAGCAAAGCCCGGGCTCACATCGGGGGCTCCCTGGGCCGGCCCAGCCTGCGCGCCGCTCGCAGGTGAGGTGAGGCCGCGGGCCCCGCCGGCCGCTGCCTGGACCGCGGCTCCGCAGCGCTCGGGGCACAGAGTAAAAAGCAGATTTTGTACTCATTGTGCCATTCCCTAACCCCACGGAAACACCCAGCATCGGAGGAGAGACGGGGGAGGGCACAGGGGAGAGTTAGTCTGGACCAATGGAAATTCTGACGATTTCTTGAGGAGTGGATTACAAAAGGAATATAGAGATGCCGATGCATTTTATAATTGAATAAATTCGGTTTATTTTAATCAAATATTATAGAAGAAGGTTAAATATATTCCTATGATATTTTCTTCAAGATTATTAAATTTATTTAATTTATTCAACATAAGAACAAGAATTAAAATAGTACAAGTGCACTTGTCTTGATTAATAAAGCATTGTTAAATGTCTAACTTATTGATATTTATTATTAGGAAGTTTATGTCGTTTCCCACAATCACCGTCTTTTAAGATTGCAAATATATATATATATATATTTGTATATCATTAGAAATTTATTGCTAGAAACTCTGTATCAAATTTGAAAAAATAAGTAGTTGAAATGTTAAATCTAGAGATCGTTCTGGATACGCTAATAAACAAAATAAAAGCACAAACAAGTGAAGCACCCGAAGCAGGGAAATGTCAAACGGAGGGACATGGGGTCACTCGTCCCACGACAAGATCACGTAGAGGTGCGGATGAGCTGAGATGTTGGGCTTTAGCCTTGGTTATTTTTGATTGACTTTCACAAAGACATTTAGGGCAAAAATTAATTCGTCTGGCCTTCAGCTCTGTCTTCTTCCAGATCATGTGCTTCCTTTTTGGCCTCCCCTTCCTTTCCCTCCTGTCTGGAAGCGGGGAATTTGTCCTTGTTGTTCTCTTTTTTCCATTTCATCCTCCTGTTCTGAAACCAGATCTTTACCTGCCTCTCGGTGAGTCCTAGTGCGTGGGACACCTCGATCCTTCTCTTCCTGGTCAGATAGGGGTTAAACAGGAACTCCTTTTCCAGCTCTAGAGTCTGGAATCGGCTGTATGTTTGTCTTCCTCTCCTCCTACCCGGCGCTGCTGTTTAAAACAAAAACACAGGGGTTTGGAGGTTGGGGTGGCCGTTCAAAACAAGGCGCAGGCAAGCAGCGAAGACTCCAGTCCCTCCGGAATCCCTCGAGAGAAGCCCCACAGAACCGCAGGGAGAGAAAGCAGAGGGCACAGAGGAGTCTAGAGCTTTACACTCGAGTGAGAGGAACACAGCGATAGTAAATGCACGAAGCGCCTCAGCTGTCCCTCTGCATAGGATGTTGCGGGGTCACTTTATCATCTTGTATACCACCCCCTTCCCGACCCCGCACCCTTCCCGTTCAGGCAGCGGCGACGGGAGACAGGCGAGCGTGTCAGCTGCGCCTCAGCCTCCGAAAGGCGTCCCAAAGGCTACTCTCGGTTTGGTAGCCGACTGCTGCAGAGGTTTCTGCTTGCTCACTGCATCTCTTTATTATCGCAAGCCGCCGCGGTGATAGGAATCGCGGTGAGAGAGGTAGGCAGTGGGGGAGACAGAGGCAGGGAGCGAGAGTCAGCGAGAAAGGAGCAGGAGGAGGAAAAGAAAGTTTCAAACTCAGACGTGAGATGGAAGCAAATTTTTGACTGCGTCCAACCTTGTGGTCTCATCCAGGGAAACATTTGAGCAGGAGACGAGCTCTGATTTAAGTGGTCTGGTTCCTCGCCAATATTAGCACTGGACGATTTACAGTCAGGATATTGTACCAGCTCGGCCTCTTGCTGTGTCGTAAAAATCTGCTGTCTCTGTAAGTTATCGTATCCGTAAAATTTAGCGGGCTCCCCGTGACAGGTAACCCCGCTGCAGGGGGCAGGAGGCGGAGGCGCGGCGGGGGGAGGAGGGGGCGGCTGGTAGGCGGCCGTGGGGCTCCCCCCGGCCGGGTGGTAAAAGTCCGCGGCCGCGCCGCCGCCGCCCCCCGCCCCGCCGGGCCCGGGGTGCGGGAAGCCGGCGGCGGCCGCGCCGTTCCCGTAGAGCAGAGCGGCGGCGGCAGCGGCGGCGGCGGCGGCGGCGTGTCGGCCGCTCACCTCGGGTGCGAAGTGACAGTCGTAGTACGGGGAATTGATGGCTTCCCCCGCCGCCGCGGCCGCCGCCACCTTGTACTTGGAGTACAGCGGGTTGACAAAGTAGGAGCTCATCGGGGAGGGGGCAGCGGCGGGCGGGGGCACGGGGCGCTGTTCACGCCGCCGCCGCCGCCGCCGCCGGTGCCTCTACGCCGCGCTCATGCCGCCGCCGCCGTCGTCGCTGGCCCGTGCGCTCCCCGCTCCTGCTCTCCGTGTATGTGGTGACCAGGACTGGATTATAATCGCTCCCAAAATGACCTGCCTCACTGCTTTTACTATTTCCTATTAGGCACACAGCAGCCCGCGCACGCACACACACACACACACACACACACACGCTCATGAGCTCAGGGGGGACTTTTGGCTTCAGTTTACATGTGCCGCTCCTCGGGCAAGAAAAAAACTCGGCCCAGCCCTGCCCGGATCCACCCCGGCCGCGGCACCCCCGCTCCCCCCTCCGGTGTGCGCTCGCTAGGAGCGCTGAAAGCCCCGCCGCGCAGGGGCGAGGCGGCCGCGCAGATCCCGCGCGATAACCGCGGGCGCGCTGCCCGGGGCGACGCCGCCCGCCTCAGCCAGGCTGTACTGCCCGCAGCGCGGCCTGCACCACCGGCCGGCAAGGGCAGAGCCCCTCAGAGGGAGCCGATGCCCATCGCAGGGTCTCCGGGGTGTAGGCGAAAGCAGTGGGGTGCCCGTGGGGCGGCACCGTGCAACGGCAGGGCCCCCTTGCCAACGGGCCCTGCGGGTCATTTCCTTCCAGGCGAGCAGATCGCTGGGAAATGAGATGCACATTTACCCTTGACGCCTTGCACGCATGGCTGAGGCTCCAGGTTAATTGATACTTAATGGAAATCATGCCTATGAATATACTTTCCATCATTTCACCCTTGGTGGACGTCATTACCGAGGCAAAGAGAGGGAGGAGGAGAAAAAAAATAAAAATGTGTGGGTGAACGGTTAGCACCACTCGGAGACTCGGTCCGAAATTAGTGAGCCCTGTTCTCCGGGAGGAAGGAAGGAAGAAAAGCGCTGCCCAGCAGCCTCGCCGCTGCCCCGGCTCGGACCGGCCACCCCCGCTGGCCCCCTTTCCCCAAGAAGCGTCGTCTCCAGTCCTCTCTTTCCCGCTTCGTCCTGCAGTGGGAAACACATTTTTGGAGACACACTCAGGAGCTGGAGTCCGCCCTATTTTGGAGAGAGACGAAAAATGTAGGTGAAATATAACACAGGCCCAGCCAGAGCCACGTGTGACCGTCTGATGCGAACTGACAAAAAAATCCTTGTGGTTACATAAAAGGCATCTCAGGCTCCTTCCCCATCACACCCCGTTCTTCCACCACCCCCACGCCTCCATGCCGATTAACTCGCTTTGTCTCGCTGACCAGCCCGGCTGCCCCGCATGTGAGCACTCCGACGGGCCCTGTGCCCGCAGTGACAGCCTCGCCTGGGCGGGGGCCCCGCGGCCCGGGCCGCACGCCTTTCGGAACCCGCGGAGGCTTAGGGACCCCCGTGCAGCCCGAGGAAAGGCGGGGGAGGCGGCAAAGGCGGGAAAGGCCCGGGCACACACACACGGACGGACAGCAGCAAAAACCCGTCGCCAGAGACCAGCAGGAAGGCAGGAGGCCGGGCCTGGCAGAGAGCGAGCGGCAGCATAGAGACACTGCCTCACCCTGCGGAGGGGCACAGAGGGGCAGTGGCTGCTTCCCGCATCCGCGCCAGACACCCCCGCCCCTCCTCCTGTGCATCCCGGCGGGCGTTAATTCCGCTGGCCAGCGCCGTCCGCGGTGGGGCTGCGGGGCCGTACCCGGCGGGGCTGAAGTGCCGTGCCCGGCGGGGTTGCGGTGCCCGGTGTGGTTGCGGGGCCGTGCCCGGTGGGGTTGCGGGGCCGTGCCCGGTGGGGCTGCGGTGCCGTGCCCGGTGGGGCTGCGGTGCCCGGCGGGGTTGCGGTGCCGTGCCCGGCGGGGTTGCGGTGCCGTGCCCGGTGGGGTTGCGGTGTCCCGGCCGCGGGCGCGCAGAGCGGGGCGCGGCGGCCGCGCAAGGGTGGAGCGCGGGCGCCCTCTGGCGGCTTGGCGCGGCCGCGGCAGGCAGCCCCGCGGCCCCTGGGCCGACAGCTGCGGAACTCCGGCGGGGCCGCTGTGGACCGACTCGCCCTTTGCTTTCTGCTTTTGGGTTGGGTTTCTTCCTTTTTTCTTTCTTTTTTCCTTTTTTTTTCCCCTCTACCCCCCCCCCCCAAGTTTACAGTGCCATTTTCTTAGCACATTTCGGTGACCCTCTTTTATTTTTTTGCCAGAGCTATAATTAACTGCATACAAAGAATGCGCCTCTTTTACACATGGCAGCCAGGAAAGACGCCTGAGCTTTGAAGACGACTGCTATCGCGTTTTCGATCATGTTTCCCCACATATTACACCATGAAATCTCCATGTGTGGTAGTTTCAGAGTTATACGTTTTTAAATTGAAGATGTTATTTTGTTTGCCCGTGCTTTTACGTATTTATGGATTGATTTATGTAAACAAAAATAAAGATGAATCTTTGTTCACCCCCTCTCCTTCATCACACATGCCTGTGAATTATTCCATATAATGCGTGTGCACGAGACGGTGCATATGTGGAAACATATATTAACACAACCAACGGGTAGGAATTAAATTATTCTGTTTGACGCTAAAAGTAATTTCCATAGATGAACTGCATTTCATCGATCGAGGTGTTTGGTTTTCTTTCTGCCATTTTGAAATAAATGCACGCAATATTAAAAACAGGTAAAGAAAAGGAAAAAAGATACAAAATTAAATGTGTCAATCTGCTTGATATAAAATATTAAAAAGATTGTGTGGGCTTGGTGAAAATTTCTTAACAAAGCCTCTGCTGGAATCAACACAATGCAATTTTGTTTATGTGTTGTTACAGCTCACACACCCCCAGCCCCCCCTCCGTCCCCCCCGCCATGGGTATTTGCAAAAATATTGAGGCTGGCATCATAGGATTCATTGCAGTAGAATATCCAATAAAATACATTTCAACAAATAAGTGGACTTCGTAAAACCTCTGTTTCGTGACCTTCAGGTCCTTTTTGAGTCTGTTGCCTTGGCCCAACGCTGACATACTGAAATTTATAGTCCAAGGTTTTAAGACCTAGTTTGTCTGCATTTTTTTGCCTTTTTTCCCCCCTAACAAACACAAACATCAAAATAAGGTGCTTTCAAAGAAAAGTGCCATAGCATATCGTAAACTCATTAGGTCCAGACGTCTAGCCATCTCAATGGTTTTATTATACCACGGTTCTTCCTGTTTTAAAAGAATTATAGGTATCTTCTCGACAATGGATGGGAAGCAATGCAACACCTTTTCCTGGCGGTGCATGCCTTTGCTTTCTTTTCCTTTTTTTTTTTTTCTTTTTTTTTTTTCCCTTTTTTTTTTTTTTTTTTTTTATTCACAGAGGTAAAAAACATTAAACACCAGGTCTCTCAGCTCTCCCCTTAATCTTGAATTAACCGAACTGCTCGTAAATATTTACGGGTCCTTCATTTTAATGGTTGCTCTTTAAACAAAGCATTTTTTACAATGAACTTCATCTCAATTATCTTGATAAAGTCATGTGTGTTTATAAATGCATGAGGAGCGTTGCTAAATGAGCTCTCGCCAACAAAGCCGAACGTTTGGCAGCAGCCGTGTCCCCTGCACAGCTTCCACCTCCCAGTTAAAGAAAGCAGAGGTTAGAAGAGTCGGAATAAAAACCAGGACTAAACCCCATGATTAACCGAATAGGCATCATTATGTTTCTCGGCTCCTGAGGGCCGGTGCGGGGGTATTTCCAAGCCGATCCCGAGGGATGGCTGATGTTTGGAAGAGCGCTGGTAGCGGAGGCCCGGGCACGGCCCGCGGCGGGCGCACCGACCCGGCCGCTCCGCGCTGGCCTCGGGGAGGCGGGGAGGGCACCGGGGGTGCGGCGGGCCGGCGGGGAGGGTACCGGGGGTGCCGCGGGCGGCAGTTCGGCCGCCCTTTGCCGCAGCCCCGGCCCGGCCGCGCTCGGCCCGCGGGGGCTGCGCGGGGGCTGCGCGGGGGCTGCGCGGGGGTTGCGCGGCAGGGCCGGAGGCGCAGCGCGCATCGCGAGGGGCGCACAGATTTCTGCTCTCAGCGCAGCGCTGTCGTTCGGTCACGGCAGACTTTATTGTGCAATAAGTGACAACAATTACAACAGGTCCGGAGTGCAGACACGGGGTGGGTAATTTATACAACGGGCACCGCGGGCAGGGACGGCAGCGAGCCGGGACCGGCAGCGTTAGGCCTATGGAGAGCGGCTCCGAGGTGACACAACCTCCTAACAGTGCACTAAGGGGGGGGAAGCAGCTCGTGGCCTCTCTGTGGCATCTATTGCGAAGAATTCAGACCTAGAAAGCAGAAGTTTGGGGAAAGATTTCCTCTTAGTAGGTCTTGGACAGCACAGCAACCCCATTGATTTAAGCGACTGTAATTTAATATGTATTTTATTACCGTAATTATAATTAATTTCCTTACCTTTATTTTGGCAAAATAACTATCTAGTCTACATCACTTTTAAGAAACATGTCAAACATTTAACATCAGATAGGGTTCCCAAAGCTAACGTGCACTCACAATATTGTCATCTAAATGGTCTGGGAAGTAGGAGGGGAGTATCAAGAGACTGAAAAACACGTTGTCGAGCAAGACAAAATTTCCGGAAATACCTGACACAGACCACGTTTCACTTCTACCAAAAAAAAAAAAAAAAAAAAAAAAAAAAAAAGGCGATTGATTTAAAATCCCTGGGGTGGAGTGGCGCAGGAGGAGGAGGAACGTATGCGGGGCTAAGGGTGCAGAGGAAGAGTAAACCAAACTAACAGGAAAAAAAAAAAAAGAAGAAAAAGGACAAACCAAACCGCAACCAAACCCCAAAAAAGCCCCACACAACCAAACAAAAAAGCAGCCACAACGTAAAACCAAAAAAAAAAAACAAAAAACCAAAACCCAACAACCAAAACCCCACGCTCCCTCGATAAAAATCCAAACTCAAAACTAAATCAATAGTCCCCGACTACGTTTCCACCCCAGCGTTAGTCTCCTTTATTGCCTTTCTCCTTGTTCATCTTTTTCATTTTCATTCTTCTGTTCTGAAACCAGATTTTGACCTGTCTCTCTGTGAGGTTTAAAATCCTAGCTACTTCGTAACGGCGGTCTCGGGTGAGGTACATGTTAAACAGAAATTCCTTTTCCAGTTCCAGAGTTTGATACTTTGTGTAGGGACAACGCTTTTTCCTCGTTGAACGAGCGTGGATCCAGTTTGCTGCAGGGTTATCTGGAAGAAGGGAGGTATATAGGGAACGGGGGGGGGGGGGGGGGGGGGAGAGAGAAAGGTCGTTAAATTAATTTAACGAAGGATGGACTGTTTTCACAACTTTGGAGGAATTATCATAAAAGCCTTAATGCCCCAGTCTGTTTACTGTACAAATGATGTCTTGATGGTAGGTGGTTATGTGGAGTCTTTTATGGGTGCTTGTTGCTGCTTGCGCTGGGGTAGGCGTCTAGACGTTTTTATAGGTTAGTAAAACTATCAGTTTTGCACATTCGAGCCTTACAGGTTTCGGCAATAAATCAAAGGGGCAATTTCTTTCTTTCTTTCTTTCTCTCTCTCTCGCTTTCTTCCTTTCTTCCTTCCTTCCTTCCTTGCTTGCTTCCTTTCTTACTTTCTTTCCTTCCTTCTCTCCTCTCTTTCTTTCTTTTTCTCCCTCTCTCTCTCTGCCGCTATTCCTCTCTATCTCCCCCACTCCCCATTTTGTTTTGATTGTCTTTTGTATTTTCTTTTTCTTGTGTTTATTTTTTCCTTTTTTTGGGGGGGGGAGGGGGGTGTTTGGTTTTTTTTTTACTTACTTGGGTCAAGTTGCTGCTGCTTCTCCTCTTTCAGATCGCTGCTCGGGCTGGGGTTGTGGCTGCAGGCGGCGGGGTCCTTGGAGCTGCCGGCAGGCGCTTTCTCCCGGGACTCCTGGAGGAAGGAGCCGCACGTGTACTCGGGCACACCGATCCCCTGGGACTCCCGAGACGAGGAGCATTCAGTCCTTTTGGAGGAGGAGGAAGAGGAGGAGGAAGACGAGGAGGTGGCTGCTCCCGTCTCCGGCTTTATCCCATAGTGGCGCCCGTTGGAGGAGCCGGAGCTGGACGCGGAGCCGCCGCTGCTGCTGCCTCCGCTGCCGCTGCCGCCGCCGCCGCCGCCGCCGCCGCCGCCGCCCGGGAAGCCCGGGAAGGGCTCGATCCAGGAGCGCACGTAGCGGCCAGCGTCGGCTGCCCCTAAGTGGGGCTGGTGCATGTAGGGGTGGTAGATCCCGGTCATTGCCGCAGACGGCTGATGGTGAACAGTGGACCAGGAGGTGGAAAACACGGTGGATTTTGGTGCAAAGCTACAAGAGGAAAAATCTGAACTCTCTGCAACACCTGATGGCCTGGAGGTCGCACTGTGACCTCCCTGGACGAATCTACTCCCATAAACTTCTTCGCTTTCATGGCCTATGAGAGAATCGACATAATAGTTACTTATGGTGCCACTAGACGACATTTTAGGCTCCCCTCTTAGTCATATAAAAGGTTACACTGTTAACTGTATATGATACCCTCCCGGAGAACAATCGTAGTATTTTGCAGACTGCAACCCTCAACCATTGGTTGTGGAGCCCACGTGATCATATTTACCAATACTGCGAGTAAATCAATCCGCTAAACTGGGGCTGCTGTGATTAAAAAAAAAAAAAAAAAAAAATCATCATCAACAAGGGCCCCGCACGGCGCGCAGCACCGCCTGCGCCCCCGCACCGCGCCGGGGCCACCCGCCCGCCTGCCCTGCCCTGCCCGCCCTGTGTGCCCGGCTGCCCTGTGTGCCCTGTGTGCCCTGCTACCCGCCTGCCCTGTGTGCCCGGCTGCCCGGCTGCCCTGCCCGGCCTGCCCTGCCCGTCCTAAGCTGCCCGACTGCCCGTCCTGCCCTGCCCGTCCTGCCCTGCCCGGGGCGCGGCGGGCGGGGCCCCTCCGGCTGCCCACGGCCGCGGCGGGTGCGGACTATTTCTTCACCTTCGTTGAGCGATTTCTGCCATTCATTTCTTAATCAATGAGAGGCAGGGTGTTTAAATAAATCCAACAGCCTTGGCTTGCTAATCACACTCCAAGCTGCTGAGGGAACCCGCTGGGAAAGGGGGATTCTTGCCTGTAAAAACAAACCATCGCAAGCTGGGACTGTAACGACTTCTCATAAAACAGGAAAATGTTACAGTAAAAGCACATTGCGGTACTTCCATATTTCAGAGCATGTGCGGGTATTATTATCCGCTCCCCCCACCCTCGGACAGAAAGTTTTCATGGAAAGGATACACTTTTAAAAAGAGATGCCCATTGTGTTGTTTTAAAACAGGTGGAAGACCTCTGTAATGATTTTATGCCTTTCAATAAAAATTTTATGAGGTGTATTTGATTATAGATTAATGTGTCCCTAATAAAATGGACGGATGGAAACAGCAAAGCCTGTGTCTCCGAGCACAACTGACGTGTGGCTGAACACACGCTCCTCTATCTGCGGAAATTTGGGGCTACACAGCCTTAACACAGCCCCCCTTGAAGGTGCCCGGTGCGGCCCGGGAGGGCGGAGAGGACGCGGAGGAGGCCGCCGGGCCCCGCAGCTGCCGGCGGGCCGCGGGCAGGGCCGCGCAGGCGGACGGGCTCCGGGCCGCGGAGCCGCGGGGCTGTCGCTGACCCCAGCTCGCCGGCAGAACTGTCTCCTCCGCCCCCAGCTCAGGGGGAGCCACGTTCAATGCCTAAGTGAGATTTATTTTGCCCACTTCGCTTTCTTTTCCGTGCCTTCCCTCCCCAGCCTTCCCTCCCGGCCTGGTTTTTCTTGCCCGAGCGAAACGATGCCCCGTTAGTACTGAAAAGTGGATTACCCATGGTCTTCTGCCCACGCCTGCTTCCCCGGGCGAGGGCCGCTGGCTGTGTCGGGATCTGGAGGAAACGCAGAAAGTTAGTGGCGAGCCCGCAGCACAGCCCGCCGGGGGCACGGCCAGCAGCGCTGGGAAAACACTTCCTACTCTCGGGCCGTTATGAGGAAGGGACTGAAATTCCTGTTTATTTAATGATTTATTGCTCTCCTAGGTTGTTTTCTTCCTTTTTTTTTTATTTTTATTTTTTCCTTTTCCTTTACTCTTTTTTTTTTTTTTTTAGTTTTATTTTTTGTCATTTGACTTTAGCATTTTCTCCTGCGATTTTATAATTTTTATTACATTTCTTTCTAGAAGCAGGGTTTGTGGTATGGCGAGGAATTGTCCCTCGCCTCAAACAGATATTATTTGGTAAAGCAGACATATTAGAGTGAGCCTCCTTTTTACATACGTTAAACTCGTGGTATGAAGCCAGCTATTTACTTCCACTGCCGAAACTTCCTTGGTGTTGTAGCGAGTACCTTTAAAGGAAAAGAAAAGGCCGTGCGAATGTATGCAATATTTAAGGGGTTGTTTTGTTGGTTTAGGGTTGTTAAGGGGAGTTTTTTTGAGCTGTTTGTTTTCGAAACGGTAACAAGCACAAAGTACCTAGGTGCTTGCGGCTCTCGCCGCTTCAAAATGATGATGCCTTGGTTTGAAGAATATATAGCCTCTTCCCCATGAGCAAATGTGCACATGAGGAAGCACTGGCTTAAATTAAATATCAGCGATGAAAGAGCATACAGAATGCCACCAACAGCATTATGAGCAATATCTGTCACCAAGTCGCACAATATTGGCACTATCTTGAGTTTAATTTCTTGATTTAGAAAGAGCTTAGGGGAGAAATGGGCGTTGATTTTGAGCAAGCTGGTTTCCCAGCGCCAGTAGTAGCCACGCTACTTTTCCAGTACCCGTTTGAAGGTGAAAGTATGCCCAAGTATTTGCACTTCAATTTGAAGTCATGTTCATTTGCAAGCTATTTGCAGTTCTGCTTAGTGTATCTGCTCACACGGGCACTCAGTCGCTCTCAGCACTCGCATCCTTCCTCGGCTTCCAGCGCAGAGCGCTGCTAATAGTATTTTTCAGCTATGTACAGAAAGGGTTAAGAGTCGTGAACGTCATTAGCTGGATGTGTGCTACTAAAATGGAATTGCGCGAAATAAAACCATCTCTGAGCAAACAGAAACGGTGCAGGGTGACAAAAGTGGGTCTGAAGAGGCTGGTGTACTTTAGTAAGCACGCCTGGGAGGGTTTCTGCTCAAAAACAAGCCAGCCTCGCCAGATGCTGGAAATGTTTTGAGGGAATATTTTTTCCATCCACGGTCTTCTGAAAGCTGTTGAGTCGACCGAAAACCGAGCTCCTTAACATTTACTTATGCCCAGAGTTACATTTATTATGGAGGTTTTCTGTTGGTTTTTCCTTTTTTTTTTTTTTTTTTTTTTTTTTTTTTTTAGCGAGCAAAGACTCATAATCAAAGTCTGCACATTGTAAGCACGCAGGGAGTGATATTTTTTAAATCAACCTATGAACATCAAATAAAATGACACACATATTCCTGACAGCTTGCAGTAGAAAGATATTTTTATCACTTACCATTTACGAGTTGTACAACTTGATTGGATGAGGATGTCCAGTTAGGTCATAATATTTTACAACATTTTTTTGTCCGGTCTCTTTTTTTCTTTCTTTTTTTTTTTCTTTTTTTTTTTTTTTTGTTTTGTTTTGGTTTTGGTTTGTTTGTTTGGGTTTTTTGCATTCAGTTTGTCAGACTGCGAACATCACACAATATTTTATAAATTAATCAGTTGTTTACAGACACATTTATAAATTAATTTGGTACACATCATTTCCCGGCCCAGTCTCCACCCCACCCCGTAGGAAAAAAAAAAAAAAAAAGGAGGAAAAGAAAGAAAGAATGCCAGGCAGACACACACAAAGACCAGAATATGGTAAAAAAAGTACACCAGTCCAAAAAGCTGCTGATAGAGAAAGATCAGGAGACCAACCTGTATCCGTGCTTCAAACATTTGTAGAAAACCAAAGGAACCGCAGTAGTTTACAGAGTTTATTGCATTATACATGCAAACAGAACATGCACAAGAAGGACAATTTGCTGCTGAACGACTACTATTCCACATATGCACCACAAGGAAATGTCTACAATGGAGAAGAAGGAAATATTCCATTTTACGAAGGACAAGCTCTAAGTTCATTTGAGAGGATAGTTACATTATAATGTGCTTCTCTTTCCCCCCGCCCCCACAGTTTCCCCCCACTCTTTTTCTGAAAGTATTGAATGTACTCAAAATGTTATGGCCCGTGTAACAGCCCCACATAAATACCATTTTGTTAGTAAAAACATGAAAAAGTCACATTGCTTGGATGTTCGACAGTTCCAATAAGTTAAGACCAAATGATAATATTCAATAATAGTTACCCTGCATTACGATGAGAACAAAAATAAATTACACGTGCTAGGTTTTATATATACTCATCATAGTAATACATATTCACTTGCAGCGCTAAAAGAAGGACGAAGAGTCACATTCTATCAGAAAACAAAACAAAACAAAACAAAACTGGAAAATGCCGGGTTTTGCCAGAGTCTCTCCTGCCTTTATCAAGTGGTGGTGCTGTGCCCATTCCTCACTGGTGCCCCCCCCGGGGTTAGGGTTTAAGAGAAGGTCAGATTAGCGGTCAGTTCCCGGATTCGGTTCTCCCTGCTCATCTTCTTGAGCTTCATTCTGCGGTTTTGAAACCAAATCTTGACCTGCCTGTCAGTGAGGTTTACGCTCTTACTGATCTCTAGACGGCGCTCTCGAGTGAGATACATATTGAATAAGAACTCTTTCTCTAATTCCAGTGTTTGGTGTTTAGTATAAGGACACCTCTTCTTTCTGCCACTCTTTGCAGTTAACCAATTGCTTGTTGGAGTATCAGACTTGATTTCCTCTATCAAAATCAAAGAAGAAGAAAAAAAAAATCAAAAATACCTCAGACTGTTAGAGTGTACCCTTGGCCATGACCCCTCCTCTGCAGTGTCTGGCAGATATGGTGGATGTGGGCATTAAACACCGCCCGGCTGAGGTGTGGGCTCAGCGAGGGGACCTGCTGCCAGCCTGGGCTCGCCTGTCCCCAGCACGGCACCCTGCCCTGCGGCCACCCCGCTCTCCTGCTCCTGCCAGGAAGGCTCTCTCAAGTTTTTGGCCGGCGTTTAACATTTCAACAATATTTAACCTGCCATCCGCCCCATGGACACATCTAAACGGGTCTAGCCTCGCCATGGCCGACTCGGGCTCCCACGACAATTGCCACGGAAATATTCCAATTACAAAATAGTCTCGCACTGTATTTTGAAGCAGCATCCCCACACACATCAGCTGAATCACGCAAGCACACCTATAAACAGATACAGACATTTCCCAGACAAAATGATATACAAGAAATTACGACACCCTGCCTTGGATTTTTTTTTTCTTTTTTCTTTTCCCCACCAGAAAGAAATCTCCCCCCACATGAAGCTAGACCTGGATTACTAAACATAATTAAGTTAAATAAATTCTCAATGAACACAGAGGGTAAAAATTGACCTAGAGGTTGCAAAGTACATTTTGGTAGCATAAAATTTCTCGTTTTGGAATTCTTTGATACACGCCAGTCTAAAAAAAGGCGTTAGCGCACTTTAAAAGGGAAAATAAAATCAGAGTGCCACCACTTTCAGGTTTCAAAAGCATTTCAAAATACTGGTGCACTTTTGGAGACCAACGCAAGGTTATCTAAAGCACCACATTGAAATATTCCACCCTTGGACCAGGCAGATAGCGGGCTGCTGCTTTCATTGTGCATTTCTGTCCAACTTTACCCAGCCTGGTAGCACCTATTCCTCACCTATTTTAAGAGGATCGTAATTAACTTTAAATGCAATCAAACCGCAGTAAGGCTCAGTGGGACAAAAAAAAAAAAAAAAAAAAAAAAAAAAAAAGGCAAAATACTACGAGAGAAAAGTTGAGCTGCTCGTATTTTACAACCTCCAGACCCGCTTTTTTTAGAGGTATGGGGCTGCTTTTGGCTGCTGCAGCGCATTACGGAGCACACGGCTATATTCCCCGCATCACAGAGGCTGCCTGCGTGCACGGGAGAGGCAGATCTCTACGGAAAATCTTTGGACCGTTTTGTGTAGCATTTTTGCCTGCCAAAATCTTCAGAGAGACAGCACCTGCAGCCCGATACTCCTTAGCATTAAATGTGATGGCTGTGATGCTCGTTAGTATATTCGAGCGTGCTTTATGGTGCTGGCGTGTTGGAGTTACACCACGGCACGGCTTAAACTCGGTAATACAGACCTTTACTCTCCTTCTCCTGGACTTCTGGGCTGGACACGGAGCCTTCGGGCAGACAGCTCCGCTCCTCTTGCAACGTGGACTTGGGCTCGGGACTTTCCACTTGAGAGACTTTAGCGGTGCTGTCTTGGTTGTTCGGGTTTTCATTCATTTTCTTTTCCAGCTGAAGTTGAGCAGATATCTGCGGTTTGGAGCTGCCGCGAGGGTTTAACTGTAACATTACAGTTGAACTCGTTTCAGGGCTATTATTGTACTCTTGGGTTTTCCCAGTGGCGTAGGTCTGGCTCAGTCTAAAATATCCTGGGACGGGAACCTCGGGGTTCTCAATGGGGCATGATTCAGACACCAGCCTCTGGTAGGAAGGGACGTCTGCAGAAATGAGTTTGGATCTCTTATCGGAATACATGCAGCAATTGCTTTCTTCTTTAATATTTGTAGTGAAGGAACAAGTGGGGACCTGCTGTGTAACAGGTTGCTCTATTCGACAAGATCTGTTCGGGTCTGTCCAAGTGTCTACTTGAGGTATATAAGGATGTACATTCATACCCATATTTTGGTGATTAACTTCTCTCTTAGCCAGAGACGGAAGGAGTCCACAGGTTTGCATCCCATACGTCCCAATGTCTGTGCTAGGTGGCATATACATGCTGGCGCTGTTGGAGTAGAAACTGTCACTCCTGCACGCACTGATGAGAGAATCTACTAAAAAAGTATTAGCGGCAGGAGAGCTGTTGGGAAAGGACATTTTGGGGCGGAATTTGAGGAAGAGAGATTGTGTCCTTTGTAGGCTGACATCTCTAGGAAAACATTCCCGTGTAATTGCGGATGCCTCCGCGCGACCACATGACAGGCGGGCCAATGGCAGCGCCCGCCGCCCCGCGCGCCGCCGCCCCGCCGCTGACGCGCCCCGCCGCGCCGCCCCGCCGCGCCCCGCCGCGGTCAACAGCGCCCCCTGCGCCGCCGCGCCGGCACCGCACCGCCCCGCCGCCCGCGCTGCGGCACCGGCCCGCGCCGCGCCCCCCCGCGCCGCGCCGCTCCGCGCCCGCGGAACCCCCGCGCCGCGCCGCGCCCGCCATGGCTCCTGTGAGAGCCCCGCCGCTGACAAGCGCGGGGACAAAAGGTTGCGGGATTTATTAATGCGTATTAAGGAGAATCAGGGGCGATCAATAAAACCCTCATCTACATTCTCGGGCTACTCGGTAATTTTCTTGCTTCTGAAGCTTTTTCAAGAGTTATACCCTCTGTTGCCGCGCACGGGAAGATATTTTATTAACAAATCAATCGAGACTTTGTAAAGGATAAGATTAATAGTTAAGATTTAGCATAATGGCGTTCGCGTTATGAATTATTGAAAATTATACTATTGATTTTTTTCCTAGCTGCTAACCGAGAAGGTCAATTTTTGTTTTAACACAAATCGTCAAATATTAAAAGGTGGACTTTTGTCATAACTCGAATTTTATAGGGAAGCCACATTCCTAAAATTATTTTACAATGCTCTCGCCCGACCGCCTGGGGAAAAAAAAAAAAAAAAAAAAAAAGGAAAAAAATTTTAAAAAGAAAAAAATAAAAGAAAAAAAGTGTGGTTTTCTCTTGCTCTGCAGACCTAAAGCATCAAAAAGGTAATTTCTCCTTCTATAGTGTTCCTCATCAAAAAACATACAGAAACTCTTATCCTCACTGCAACTCCTTTAACTCCTTTAAGCAACTTTTTCGGTTTGTTTTTTTTTTACATATATAAGAATGATGAATGCATCTGTGTAGTAAAACAACAAACAGCAAAGAAAGCAACTAACAGAAGGCAACAGTAACTGTCTACATGGCAGATCAGAGTTTTCCGTCCCAACATTTTAAACGTGTTTTATTGTTTTTCCTCCCACTCCTTAGCCGTATTTGCACCCGCAGCTACTACATTTTAAATAGTGGCGGTAGAAACTGTTTATTACTCTTTATCGTTTTACTTTCTTTTCTCTACCCCTTTTTTTTTTTTTCTTTTTTTTTTTTTTTCTTCCTCCCCAAACTGGAGTATTTCTTGTCTGGGACTAATGTTGTCAAGGACTCTCATCCATACAAAGTGAACTTGTTGATAATTTTTGTTTGGGACTAATTCGCCTGTTTATTTTGGGCCTTTCTACCATCAAAACACCCTTTCAGATCCCCAAGAGCAGGCAGCACGTGAAAGGATTTTAAAAAATTTAAATGCGTCTTTCGCACACTTACAAACGTGCGCTTTCCACCAGCGTGGGTTTGAATTTTCCTCTGTTTCCTGGCATTTGGATGTTTTTGTACTTTACCGTACACTTTAGACCGCTGGAAACAATAACCCTATTTAAAATTTCGCGGTGGCAATGAGACAGACCTTTTAAAACCTTATCGCAGCTGTTCAAATACAACATCATTGTCAGGTTAAGAGCCAGCGTCTTTTATAGCTGCAGTCTCCAGCTCCTGGCTTGCCGGAGAGTTTAAATATTACCTTCGGAATATTCTGTGCTCGCGGGCTCTGTCGGCAGCATCCCCCGCGCCTGGCGGGGCCGCCGCCCGGGCCGGGCACGCTCGGCCGGCGCCGCGGGCTGAGGCGAGCGGCGGGCGCTGAGGCGCGGCGGCCGCGTAAGATCATGATCAGAGCCATGGCTAAGAGACCCCTGCGCCGGGAAGAAGCCGCGGCAGAGCCCACGACGCTCCCTCCGAGCGCCGCGTCCCCCCCCTCTCCCCTCCCTGCCTCGCCTTCTAGCAATTTCCTCCTCTTCAACAACAGCCTGGACAACCCACAGAGTTTAAAGCAACAAAATACTATTTTTCTTGACGCAGTTTAAGACTTGACTATTAAATCTAATCAGGAATTTTATGCCCATCAAATGGTTCTTTCATAATCTTTATTTACACTGTAAGAAAAGGGGTCCCCAGAAATATCCCAGCTGAAAGTATCAGCCCAGAGGTTTGCGGCGGGTTTCGCCCAACAGTAAAGTTAAAACAATAAGCAAATGCTGAGCTGCTTTCCACGCCGGCCTCGCTGCTGCTGCTGCTGCTGCTGCTGTTGCTGCTGCTGCTGCTGCTGCTGGAGGAGCTGAATTCTGGGCTCCTGATTAGACATGAGGGCTCTTTGATATTTTGTAATTGAAAATATTAATTTCATGCATGTCACTAGACGGAAACTCAGATGGCTGTTATGATTATAGTAATTTAAATATTGCGTTCGGGACTGGCACACGGCTCCATAAGACCCTTCGCTCACGGTAAATCATGAGGGATTTAAAAACGGGCAGCGATTTTTTATTGAAAATGAACAGTAGAAAGTTTAAGTTTGATGTAAATAGAAGTTGAATAAACATGCGAGAGCCATTGGGGAACTGGGGACTTAGGCTCTGGGCATTTAATGTCACTATTGTTTTAAATCATATTAAAATGGAATAAAGTAATTAACATTAAAAAATAAATCAATATTGTGCAATAAATGAGATATACAATCTACATTAATATAAAGGTTTTGCTCTCAGAGCCCCATATTTTTCCGAACGAGGGTGAAAAAATGCCCCAACCAATGGGTCCATGTAGATGTAAATTACTGTTTGTAATAAAGCATAGGTGGACATTACAGTTTTCTCCTCTAGCAAATGTCAGGGCTAAAAACTGGAGGTTACCAGACGTGGCAGCAGGGCTTAATTTTCACTGCCTTATCTCCCTGAACCTTATTACTGGTGATATGATTATGTTTTTGTCTCGGCTGTGCCGAGCATTCTCATAGTTGCAATTTGCTGTGTTTGTGTCCCATTATGTGAGGGGGATGGGAGAGGGGTACGAAGGAAGCCAGATATTTTGCAGATGCCTTCAGTAACAAAGGTATTGCGAGAAATGTCTTATTTTTAAAATAGGCTGGAACCCAGGAAGCTTTTAGTAAATTTCCTTTGATTTACTTGATTTCATCATTTTATTTAGAGTGTCTTTAAATGCGCTGATTATATATATATATATTATGCCACGCTGTTAAATTGTAGGGACATTGAAGAATAGTTTTATTTAAGAAAAAAAATTTAGGTACGATATTGTGATCTTCCTTCTTTTAATAAGCAACTGTCACGTTGCCCAGATTTCTATGTGCCGTATTTTCATAGAAAGAGTCGGCATTTGGGCTCAGATTTCCTAGGTTTTTTTGACCGAGGTAAGGGAACGGACACGACATACAGATGACATTATGTTTTTCCTAAATATGAAAGCCTATAAGATAAACAAAATAGCACGCTGCTCTTTTCTTCAAAGGTGTTATATCTGAGCGTAAAAATCGCACCCTAGCACTGACCGTATGCTCATCTTCTCTCTAAACCCCAGCCCTTCTCCTATCGTATTTCCATATTTTTGTGGACACAAAGGTGCCTGAGTGTGATGAGATTTTAGCGTGTATATTGGTGGCCAGTGCAGCCTTCAGCCTCGGTATTTGTATTGCACAATTATCTTTCGGCGGATTCCTGCCATATTTATATTTTAATCGCAAAATAAGCAAATGCCCTTTTCGTTCTATGTAAAGGACAAGCCCAAAGACATTTGGAAATAGCTCACAATCTTTTCTATCTAGAGGAATTTAACTGAGAAAAGGGTAAAAAGGAAAAATAGAAGAGGTTACAATCACTCACAGAATCATCACATTTACACAACGGTTCAAAAATAAAGGGAAGAAAGCGGCATTTCCATGTTCTCGTGTATAGATATAATTTTCCATAATTAACAGTGCACCCTGGTTCCCATCGCCCGTTCCCATTCTCTGAGTTCGGCCTCACTGTAATTGCGGGGGGTTCAAGCACCTCGGGTGAAGCCTGATGGGCTCGGGGTGGGCTCTCGCAAGGAGCCCTCTCATGCCAAGAAAAACAAACACCTAAACTTCGCTAAACATTTCCCCCTAGGAAAGTGGATGTCCACCGAGAGATCAGGGCATTTTCCTCCGGGATACGGCTCTGCCTGCAAGGGCTACCTCTGGCGTCAGGGATCCCAAGGATTTTGGATTGTACAATGCCGTTTTATTACCGCCGGAAAGGCTATATCTAGGAAAGTGTTAACAATGAACTTCTAAAAAGAAAAAAAAAAAAAAAGAAAAGAAAAAAAGAAAAATAAACCACACACCAACAATCCAGCAGACGAAGCGCCAACAAATGCGTTCGCGAGAGACTGGTCTTAAAAAAATGCGGAATATGGCTAAGACAACATGAAATAGATTTCGATGAATTCTGCAAATAAGCAGAAAACAGCAAAATCTTTTCTTTCCTCAGATTCTGACCAGAAGTGCACACTGGAAGGAAAAAAAGGATAAAACAAACAAACAAAAAAAATCTCAGAAAGACAGAACATGCTCGGTTGCTGGAGACTGTCCAAGAAATTAATAAGAATTACTTTAATTCTGTAAGCTCTACTTTCATTTTAATAGATCTCCATAGCACTTTTAAAGAGAGGAACTCCATTCAGCAATGCCTTGGAAAGGTGATGTTAGGATATTAAAAATATCTTTTCTCTTTAGTCTCTCTGTCTTTCTTTTAAAAAATATGGACTCTCATGAGCTAATGTTAATCTCGCCTTTAAATAAAATACGTTTTTAACATTATGTTTTCTGTACCTAGATGTTGATTTGAGAAAATCCTCGAGTAAGAATCAAAGATAAATTGTGGAAATGCATGTTTTATATATTACTTTTGTTCCACCCGCGTTAAGGCTGTCCTTTAAGGAGTAGATAGATTTTCGTTCTAGGGAACGAATTCTGAGTATCTTTGGGGTTTGATTTTTTTTTCCTTTCTTAAAATT